TTTAAAGTTTCATTTCCAACGCTTGCAGACACACTTCAAATTGTCAATGCATTCAATTACGTTTCTGAAACATATCATGTTCAAACTTAAAAATATGTTCTATCTGAGCTGCGTTTACAACTGTTAGTCCTTTGCATTTCAGATGCATTTCGATCCTAAAAATGTTTGCATTGGTGGATTGAAGCCGAAAAACACATAGAGAAGTGTTCATAGATGTAAAAAATATGCTTGTTCGTAAAGACAGTTTTGTCTATCTTCAGTAATTCAAATAGTTGACATCGCTATTCGCGATTGGTGCTACTTGATTATTCATGGATGGTCGACGACAATTCTTTGGCATCTTTCGAAGATATTTCGTGCCCTTTTTCATCAGAACGGATTTTGTTTGACGATGAAATCGTACGGATGAGATCAAATATACATAGAATGTACCCTACAAATTTTTTAAAGTGAATGATATCAAAGGAATCACAACAACAAAACAAGTGGCATACAGAAACATTGAGATAGCTGATAGATATGTTGATGGCTGTGATGAGTAGTTCAATTGCAATTTGAAGTGTTTGATTTTTACGATTCTGTGTATTCATAGTGTAGAAACATTGTGCAATATAAGGTAAAAGACAAAGAACAAAAAGTATCACTCGAGCAAGAATCATAGCTGTTAGCTGTTGATCAAGTAGTCGTCGAGTATTGCTCATTTGTTGTCGATGAATACGTCGAACATTTTGATAAGCCATTATACTGAATGTGGATGCTAAAGCAATTGGTAAGATGCCATGTAAAATAGGTAAATGCAACAATGAGTAGTAGCGAACTAAATTGATGCTGCTGAAAAAACAACCAAATGTGGCTTTTATATCAAAGAAGAAGGCAAATGGAACGTTGTAGAAAAACCAAGCAATACTTGGCATAGCAGTGAGATATTTTGCTAATTTGAGAGTACTCAATTGTCGCATGAGGGGACTGCAATTTGTAGAAAAATATTGATCGATCACTGCAAAATTAACCAAAGGTAGCATCATCAGTGGACACCATTGAGTGATTGGGTTTCGTATTCTACACTAGATGAACGATATTTGATCTGAGTTCAAGTTAAATATTTCTTCAGTAATTCGTAAGTTCCTTCCACTGATGTAGAACGTAAAAAAGTCGAAAAATAAAAATTTCAAAATGTTAAAAAGTCGTGTATGGATGAGAATCTGAGTCTTCTCTTGATCAACACGCACACAAATTCGAAACAGAAGATTCGTTGTACTTCATCAAATACTCATTTGTCCTCATCTAATATTTTGTCTTCAGTTCTTCTGACTTTCTGCATAAGCAATAGTAACATGAAAACGGCTTTATTAGGACTTAATACGACAAGAACATATCCAGTATTCCATATCTAAAACATCAATATATGGCAAACAAACTGTTGAAATTACTACCATTACTGGGTAGACTTTCGGAGATTTTTTGTAATCATATAGACGATTACACCACTTATCAAAATTGAATTACAAATATTGTATTTACACGTGATTATTGAGGAACACATCTCTCATGCAAATTTCTGATCTGCTTCTTTCAGTTTCTAAAATCAAGAAGTTAAACGAACTTAGTACGCATTTCTAATTGACAGTTAATTCTAGCTGGAAACGGAACCGAAAAACTCCGAATATTTGCTCCACATGTTTTTCCCTAATTTCGGAATATATCGCTGTTAACAAATTCATCTTCGTATTTAGCGAAACAAGATTACAAAATGGGTGTTGAAGAATATCTCAAGAAAAGTGATATCACTCATAGTTCCTCCTGCCTTCGCTCATGAATCATGACAAGCAGAATATATAAAGCTCTTTAGCAACAAGACTGTGACAGATATTTCAGAATTGTCGTCAATCTAATCTTCTCCAAGCAGAATCGATGTGGTTAAGACTCTCATAGACTGATAGATTTAATCTATCATGTTCCAAATTTAAAGCCTACAGCAAATACACTGAGTGCTTTCTTCCAATACTTCAGTGTTTCCTACACATTAAAAAAAAAGGCATGTGTCTGCTATTATAGTAATAACTAACGTGAAAAATACTTGTAATAGTTGAAAACAGATTAAATATCCTGAAAAATCATTTATTTTAAATAATAATCTCTGTAGAGCACAGTTTAAACAGCACATTAATGGTACACAATAGCGTATATTTCCTTTAATGCTTTAGAGCTGATCTGTGCTCATTAACTACAGAAGAAATATTGAAACTCGATACGCTGTTCATATTATGGCTTATTCTAGTGCCTTCCTAATATATACATTGTAAATCGTTATACAAATGATGTTAATGAAAGTTGCATGCTCAATAATCTATTGCTTTTTCTATGCAAACATGATTTCTCAGTTTTCTAAGCCAGGATATAGAGTACAAAGAAACTATAGAGAGCGTGCAGAATCATAAAAGTGTTCGTAAATAATCACTATGTATGATATTTTCTTTCTCAGATATGATATTTTTGACTATAGTTCCGTAAGTGGTGTCAGAGATTACATCAACTGAAGAGAAGCTATGTTCTATAGTTTTTTATTAATAAACTCAGTCTGATAACTCATTAATAAAAGTAGAAATTTCAATTGAAGTGAAAAAATTTTATTAGAACATTGATTGTTATAAAAAGGAGTATAATGGTTTCTGAACAATATCAAGCTGTAACTTAAATTATATAGTCAAAAATTTATAATTTGAGAACATATCACATAGTTACCATTCTATCGAATGATAAACAGCTTCAAAACTTAGTCTCTGATAAACATCCAGCCTTCTATCTACGATTCTAAAATAGTCAGCATGCTTATCTCAATAGTTTTTTTTACTAAATAAATAAATCATGCACCAAAATAGATGCAACTAATCTCAAGCATACCATATAAAATAATAACTCCAATGTAAGATAGATCTAATTAATGATAAGACTAGTAATACGAGTTCGTTTATCATTTTTCTACCTTTATTCAAAAAGAAGACGTGCAAATTTCCAATGTGTTCGAGACAACATTGTTAAAGAGAAAAGAGAAAGAACTAGAATTGTATATAAATATTTTTTCTTTTCTTATTGTCATCCTGTAGTAATGTTCACCATATTGAAAGTTGACACTTCTTCTTTTTGAATAACAGTAGAAAAACGATAAACAGACTCATATTACGAGTATTATCATTAATTCATTATGTTTCATGTAACAATGTAAGATAGATCATTTTATCTCTTAAATAGAAGTCGTTATACATGCTCATATGAGAAATAATTCTTTTCTTTCCGAATGAGAAGAGATTTAGATTACGACGGTCTTGGAAGAGAAAAATGATGCCTCAAGGAAAAAAACCCAATAGCACACTAAGCAAACACTACACTGCAACGAATGTAATTAGGTCATTTTGATACTAGTTTTACAGTTACACCAATAATATGTCAAATACGAACTGATGAAAGCTATATAAGAAGGATTGAGAATCAAAGAAAGGAAACTTGGGGCTAGTAAAAAAATTAATAAATAATTGGCTTACTTCGAACGAACATCTTATCAAGACTATTATGAATTAGTGAACAATTTCAAAAGTTTGAATACACTCTTTAAAAAAAACAGCAAACAGAAGAAATAGTTTACAGAAATGAAAACCTAAATAACTCAATACTGAACATAAGCGCGAGTAAATAATAATGAAATTAATGACAATGATTCAGATGAAAGACGTCTTTCCAGGAAGAGTCACACAGTATTTCACTCTCGCATTGAGAGTATTCGAACGAAACTGCGCAGTATGTGTATCATCCGTGTGTTTGTTAAGTCAATCAGAAACAAATAAATATCTTCAATGGGCAAGAAAAATGAAAAAAACATTTTGAGAGTCTGAAGTATCATCACGGCTTCGTTTGGAAACGACGTTGCAAAAAGCCAAACAGAAATAATAACTTTCACTGAGACTGTAAACTAAAAAATACATAATAGAGAATGAAGAAAGATATTCTAGAAAAGTTTCTATGAATTTATCAATGATATTTCGCTTTCTTAAAATATGGTATTCGATAAGAATAGATATTCAAATGTTTATTTTTTTTTTAATTAAAAAATCAACAATGAATTCATATTGACTTTTGTAAAGAATCTAACTTGATTTCGCTAGCTGAGTACTTTCCTAGAAAATAGAAAAATCTACTAGAACTTTCTATTGTCAAAAGAAACTTGTAGTTATTCTCTACAGTCAATTGTACTATAACCTGAAACCAATTATAGGTCAAAAATAAGTAATGTAGATAAAAAAGAAAAACTGCATAGTTAAACATTAGTTTTTCAAAACTCAACAAAAATAAATAGATGTTGAACAAAATTTTTCATCAAGAGATTATTAGAAAACAGGAGTGTGAATGAAGATATGAGAAATACTATAGCTGTTACAAAGTACATCTATGGGATTCAATTAACGAAGGAATAAACTCTAACGGAAGACGACAACTATTTCAAAGAACATTTCGATAAAAACAGAATGTCTCAAAATGCAATACTTGATTTTAAATTTAAGAAAATTACATGAGAGACAGCATAGTTTAGAAAAAATGAAGAAAAACTAACAATATTTACTTTATTTACAGAAAAAGTATTAATTCTAATATTCTTCTTCTTTCAGAAAAGGGTGAGCGAATCCTTAGATGAGCGTTACTTGTTTTTTAGAGTGCATGAAAGTGTATGTAGCTTATCTCAACCTTGGACATTTTTTCTATTGGAGAAATAATTGATAATGAACAAAATATTATAATTAATAATATTTGTCTTAATCGATTAGTTAATTCGTCTAGTTTAATTTCTGATTCAATAGTATATTTATTTATTTAATGGTTGTTTTTATTCTTCTTCTATTTGTTCCATTCTCATTTATATATTTTTACTATTTATATTCATAAAAACAACAAATCAAAAGATAAAGTCAATATGAATAAGAATGAACAAAAAAAGAATGGAAAAAACATTCTTAGGATGTTGTTGTAACATGAGGATTAAATTGTATTGGTGTTAAAGGATATCTAGTTAATTCTTCAATTTCGATTGTTTTGAACCAGGTAACTATTTTTATCCACATCTTTTTGATGAATATAGATGTGCAAAATGTAATAGATAAAATATAAGTAATGGATATAAGCAATAACATAAGAGCGCGATCGAATAAAAGCCGTGGGCTTGGTTGATTATCAGATGAACCAGGCATAACCAATTTGACTACATCTTCATACAAATTTGCATATAAAGATGAACTTGCTCCACCAATCCATAAGATAATAATTCCTAGAAAATAGAGCATTAAATGTAATGTTCGTTGAAACTGTTGTATAGAAAGCACAAAAGGTATCAATAAAGCAAAGTATGAAAAGCAATACTTGCATGATTCGAGTTCGCAAGCTGATAAAAAATGTTTAACTAACAAAATAAAACAGAAATAAGAGGTTTTCTTTCAAATATGATATCCTACGTCGATAAGCACACATATGGTACGCGTACTTCAAACAACTATCATTCAGAGAGGGCTCGCAAGTGGACAGTAGTCACAACATATTATACAATATGAAGCAAGGAAAAATCGTTATATTTATTTAATGTTTTAGTTCGGTACGAGAATGCACATGGTGTTTCTCTTTCAATATTGAATTAAATTTTTTCTTTCTATATATAATCTTTCGAAATTAATTATTCTTTCTTTATAGATATTTCCAAGTAGTATTGATTTTATTCAATTATTTTTATATATCATCGATTAGTTTCTTAGTAATTCGTTGATCTATTTATTTTTATTCAAAATAATGATGCTTTTATTTTAGTTTTAAATAAGATAAACTATATTTTATGCAATAGAAGTATGTTTATTTTGAATTAAAATAAGTAAAGTAAATTGAATAGAGTTAAATATTTATTTAAAATATAATTCAACGTAATTATCCTATTTATGTTAAATTAGAATAATATAATATTTGCTATATATATAGTGAAAATAAAATAGAATTATTTTACTTATTTATTTCATTTTATTACAACTGAAACAAAACTAACCCTCAAGAATTATTTATCAATAATTGAAATAAAATAGCAATCAATTTAATTTAAGTCATTTAAAAATATTAGTTTTTCTTTTGTTTTTCAGAAAATTTGGTATAAAAAATTTCTACATTGACATTGGAACTCGAATCATGCAATAAAATAAGCAATAACGAACGTTTTATAATCATACCTTTTAAGTGAGTACAGAAGAGCATTTTTTATAAACAATGTATATTTATCATACACATATACAAACTAATACATAAAAAAATGTACAGATGTTTTACAATAATTCATTTATTAATTTAATTTTTTATATTGATCAGTTGGTTTCGTTGATGAGAACAATCCTATCATCAGAAAAAAAACCTTCCGAATTAATTTCAGTTAATTTATAGTGAAAAATAAAGTAGACTTTCTCTAATTGAAATAATATAGAAGATTCTTACCTCTGGCTAGTCCGATCCATGCCCAAATTTTATCCTTTAATGTTATTGTTGATGATGATGACGATGATGTCGATGTGAAAGGCCGATTACTACGTGCTGAAAAAAAAGAGAACATTTGTGATGATAGAATATCTTAAGTTTTTTTTTTCCTACAATCAGAATAAATCAGATCGTAAACAACATTTTCGTTCCAATTCCAAGTAAAATTTTTATTTTCATCAGACGGTATACTGAAAAAAAAGCAAGAAATATATTATTCAAAATTTTCTTCTTCTTCTTTTCCAACAGACCTAATAGAACCATATTCATCCCTCTCAGCTAAACCAACGGCATCGGGAAATGTTCGTTTAAAATAATCGTGACTAATTTTATGATTTGAATCCAAAACCAATCTAGTAATAATTTTTTGTTGGTTGTCAAACACCTTCACAAATTGCATTTTTACCCAAAAATAGTTATAATGAATAAATCAAAACAATGAAATTATATTAGAAATAATAATCAATTTGAAAAATTCGATGATTTTAACTTCAAATAACAAGAAAAACCAGAACGATTACGATAAAAAAAACTTTTATCTGAAAATAATTTATTGATAAAATACTATGAATAGACAAGGAATAATAGCAAAACACATTATTTCAATTTGAGTAAAAAAGATCTTATGGATAAAAAAAAACATAAAGATCAATAAAATTTCATCGTATATGTTACTTTATTTATGATTGGTTAGTTATATCAATCTAATAACAAGAAACATCGCTAACTTCTGAGAGCATGGAAAATTTCCATTTCCAGAAAATTCAAATAAAATACTTATAAAATAAATTTCCTGGAAATTCAAAAATTTTAACATAACACTTGATTCTTTATTAAGACATAAAAATATCTTGTACGATAAATAAGGATATAACTATATCTTTTTTCTAAACTCCAGTTTGATAAAAGAACGTAATTGAAATATGCTTATAAAGATATAGTATATAAATACAAACCAATAGAGATTATACTTTAAAATTGAACAAAGTTTATTCTATTGGGAAATTCATATTAATATTTGTAATGATATAAATATATACTTAAAAATCTTGGGTTGCGCTGGGTTGGGTTGGGTTGAGTGAGAATGTATTGGAAATTCATTTTTATATGGAAACGATGACGTATTTTATATATATATATACTATGATATTCGGTTATTTGTTAGATTCACGTGTAATCGACAATGGACAGAAAATTCATATGTGTGTATTAACTGTACAATGGATTGCAGATGGTTGATTCCAATTAGAAGACGTCATTCTGTATTTATAAATCTGATAACATGACGAATTAGTATTCATAAGTTCAAGGTTCAACTGGAATTTCATCATATACCGTTTATGTGCCATTACTGCTTCACATTTTATAATAGATAGAATTAGTACTTTCGGTAGCATAAGGATCTATCGACATCTAGCATATGAGTAGAACTGTGGCCATAATTAGAAAATGCATATCGCTATAATAAGAAGAGCTACTGCTAAAAGAATAACGTTTATTTGATTTATTTTTTATATAAATAAAATATCTTTAATGGAACTGAAGTACAAAAGCTGATTCTACAATTGGCTTAGGTTCGGATAAAAGTGGCCTCATAAATATTGTTCAATCTTGTTACAAAACATGTGAGAATCTTTTTCCTGAAGTTTATGTTGAAGACGGAAAAAAGTCTGTTATTTATGATATAACTGGTGCTGGTTTACACAAGGAATTAGCTACTGGAAATAAATTCTTACTTATGCATGAAGCAGATGCTAACTTAACCAAGCTGGGCTTCTATCAATATGGTAAAAATGATGTTTTATCTTTTTACAAATCAATAGTTTTTGTACCAATTAATAAGATTAGAAGAGTTTCACATAGATATAGAATAATCTTTTTTTTTGCAATTGTAATTCTATTCTATAAGGGTGTGGGAGTGTGGGTGTGCGTGCGGGTGTCGGTGTCTTATCTTCATCCACACCCACACTCACATCCACACCCACACTCACATCCACACCCACACCCACATCCTTTTGCTATATAAATGCAGATTTATACTCATAATACTTCTTTCTTATTCATATAAAGCACATTCCTTAACTCAGTTCGTCCTTCGCATAAACTCAACGCACGATTTTATACGTATTCTGTATTATAATTTATTTCGTTTGGACGTTTAACTCAACTCATCTCGATTCAACTAAACAAGAAAGATGTATGTTATCTCTTCATATTACTCCTTGAATAAAAATGTATTTCTTAACTCACTTTGATTTTAACTGTAATGAGCGCAAGTCAACGCATTAAGCCCCCCTCAGAAAAGTCAATTTTTCGAAAAAAACTCGATTTTGAGATTTATACATATACTGATAGCCCTTGTGATGAACTACAACCTGGCATAATTTGTTTTGGCAAAGTGTGTATATTGGTCTTTTTTTCTGACGAATTTTTTTCTGAGGATATGCTACTGAGGGATACTGAGAATACAGTGTTAATGATACTTTTCATACTTTTGTTTGACCGACAGAGCTGAAATTTTTCTATTAACCACATTATGATATATCCACATACAGGCCACCAATAAAGCTTGAGGAATAGTCCGAAAATGCTAGGTAGATAAGCAGACTTATTTTGAATAAAGACACTTATTGCATCAAAAAATTTTGTTTTTCGTTTTTCTCAAAATTAATTTTTTCGAGCATACTGTTTACGTGGGGAAGGATTTCTTGATAACGCCTCAATAAAGAAGGGACAATTTTTTTTTGTTGAATAGAGGGTAGGTGGGGCTAGATCCTCACAGGCTCCGATTTTTGAATTTCTCTTTTGGTGAAATAAAAAACTTTAATATTTCATTTTTATTAGTTCTTTGAATTTGAACATTTTTCGAAAATGTGCTTTTAAAAATGAAACAAAGGGAAATCCAAAAATCTGGCTCTGTGAGGATCTGGTCCTAAGGGTACTCTACAAGTTAAAAAACGCTCGAGCTTGTTAGCTTGTATCCTTATTGTGAAATCCTTTCCCACGTACAGGGTGTTTTTGACCAATAAATTGACCATAACTCATTAGTTTATTAGAAATTTGGGGGAGATATTTCACTCATAATCTATCCTATCCTAGACTAATATCCTCCAAAAATTTGGGTGAAATCGGACGAGAAATAACAAAGTTCGTTTCTGAGGGGGCCCCCATTAAGCACTTATATACTATGCCTTCATATCACTTCTTATATAAAGTGAATTTAAGTCATCTCGACTCCAACCCAACCCAACCCAACTCAACTCACCTCAACCTAATCTAACCCAACCCTACCCAACCCAACCCAACTCAACTCAACTCACCTCAACCTAATCTAACCCAACCCTAACCAACCCAACCCAACCCAACCCAACTCAACTCAACCTAATCTAACCCAACCCAACCCAACCCAACCCAACCCAACCCAACCCAACCCAACCCAATCCAACCCAACCCAACCCAGATCAAACTAACACACACAAGTATACTATATCTTCTTATCGATTTCCATATCAAAATGAATTTCCAATACATTATAGTCCTAAAAACTCAAACTTCATCCACCTTCACGCAGTGAATTGAATTTTCAGGAAATTTATTTTATGAGTATTTTATTTGAATTTCCTGGAAATTGGATATTACCATCGCATGTAACTTCTAGTTTGTAGACTAATGCCATCTTTCGGATTATATCGAATGGTTGAATCGGAGTAAAATTAATATTCATTGCATGAATGAATGATGGTATATCTATATTTATATAATTAATTATATGCTGATGATAATAATAATGATTTTTATGGTAGAGAATTGCAAAAGAATGAAATAATTATTATCAAGAATAAAGAGCAAACAAAAATCATAAGTCAATTAAATGAAATTATTTTAATTATTAACTTGTTGAGGTGAATGTTTAGTTCAAGGGTATTTTGAACTTGTTTTTATTTGCAAATGCACGATACACGCTTAAACAATGATGATGATGTGGAAAAAACGGTACCACAAAAAAGAAAACATAAACTGAATCATGAAGATTCAACGTGAATGGACAATAAATCACCATATATAACCTGCATGTAATAAGTCTTTGCACAAAATATATCTTCAATTTTCTTTCACTTCAAGGTTGAAGGAAACAATCAAAAGTAGTCAGCTAGAATGAGAATTTAATGCTCTTTCTAAGTACATATTCAGAATTTTTTTCCGACTTAAAGTTGATTCGATAAGAGCAAATTTTTGAAGAGAACCAAAAACGACGTTTGTACAGAATCTTTTATGCAGTGCATTTTTGTGCATTGATTAAAAGTGCCTCAATTCTAGTTATAAAAAAGCCGTCTTATACGCTGGTTTGTAGAACAGAGCTTGCTGTACACAATGAACACTTTCCTTCGTTTTCTATACATCGCTGAAAATCATTAGAATCTATAGTATTATAAATATCGAAATTCTCAAAAACCAATTATTTTGAAAAATGTGATCTCAGCTACCGAACAGCATTTGGAATACTGTTTTCAGATTTTGACTTTTTTGAGATACAACTCATCGGAATCCATAGTTTTGTGGAGCATGAAATTCTCTACAAAACTAGGAAGGAAAAACTATACCAAAATACTCTTTCAAGAAATTGCACATCATAGAAAAAAGTTTATTTTGCGTAGCACAAGCGACATTTTTTATTTACTCCGGTATTTATTTATAGTTAACTAGCCGTAAGTCAGGGTCAAGTTCGCACGACGCATTTTAAAAGAGTATCGAATTCTGGTTCTACCTAACTAGTTTCGATCCCCTACAATTACAGTTAAAGGTTCGAAAAATGTTTAAACATTCTCATTGAGACCTTTGAAACTGGTGTTTTGTACAAACGTCGTTTTTGGTTCCCTTCAAAAATTCGCTCTTATCGAATCAACTTTAAGTCGGAAAAAAATTCTGAATATGTACTTAGAAAGAGCATTAAATTCTCATTCTAGCTGACTACTTTTGATTGTTTCCTTCAACCTTGAAGTGAAAGAAAATTGAAGATATATTTTGTGCAAAGACTTATTACACGCAGGTTAGATGAAGATAAGGAGAAAAGAAAAG